TATCTTTACTTGTTTATTCCTCAGGAGGGCAGGCATAGGTGATCAGAGGTCCAGGCCCTATTCTTCAGTTCCTATGGATAAAGGACTATGAGTTTGGCACCTTTTCGTGGTTCTAGCTAAGCGACAGTACCACAGCTTTGTCCCTCTGCTCTCAGTCCCTCTAAGCCAATTCCCTCAAGCATGGAAAAGGATCTGCCTCTTCATCTCAGCTGCAGTTAATTTTATTGCCCGCTGTTGTCTGTGTTAGACTGACCTATAGTAGCATGCCACAGACTGTAGTGCTTTTTCACATGTGTTTGCTCAGCTAGAAAATCTACCCAGGAGTTTCCTGAGTGCCTGCTGCAATATAACCTGGTATTTTGGAGTCTAGAAATGCCTGTGAACTCCTCAGATCGCTTCTTCCCACTGACGAAGTATTGTTTTGAGATCCATCTGGTGTCAAGTGTAGGCATATGGCACCAGTATGGCAGCGCTGCCTACGGGGGTGGTTTCCTGCAGAAGAGGTCTCGCTGAATGCAGTAGTCATTGCCTATTGAAAGTCATTATTGTTTAGCACCCAGGTCTTTGTGAACTTGTTCAACTGGTGGCTGGGCAGAGTGCCATCCGAATCTACGGACATGAGCACAGACAGCTGAGTCTCTGGGGCCTTACACACATCAGATGTGGGTACTGAGGTCGGGCTTCTCAGTAAGGAGAATCTAAACGACTGTCTGTCCCGAGCATGTGTATCTGTGGTTGAAGGGATACGCCATCATTAATCCAAATCTGGGCCGGATTAAGCTTCTAAAATAAAAACAAGCTCTCCCAGCCACTTGAAGAGGGCTCGGGGCCTGTTTGAATTGAGTGCATCAGCGGGGAGGGAGGGAGGAGGCAGAGGCGGCTGAGCAGAGTCCCCACCTCCTCGCCCCTGCAGCGCTTCTCTCCGTACGGGCTGAGACGACCCGACAGCTGCCAGAACAGGGGGCCGGGTGTGCTGCCTTCGTCCCTTCGACTGCAGGCCTCTCAAGGGCTGGGCAACACTTAAGTTTCTGAGGCCAGCCCTCCCTTTGCCATGACAAGAGCACAGACATTTCATGCTTTGTTTCTTAATTACGTTTTCAGCGCTGTTCTTGTAACAGCCGGGAGCAGAAGCTTTAGCATTCGGGGAGCGGGATCGCCCGTTTGCCAGACAAAAATCTCGGGTTTACCAGCCTGGGCCTGGCTCTCCCTTTCCCCTGGGCAGGGCTCCCACCTGGAGCCGATTCAGGCTCGCTCGTCTGGCCCTTTGAGAGCTGCTCACCTCCGCGGACAGGCAGAGCATGCAGAGGGGATGAGGCAGCAGCACCAGCGTGGTGGTGCCCACCAGAAGGCCATCACCAGGAGCAGAAAATCTGGGTGGAAGATCCCAAAGCCAGAAGTACCAGAAATACTTTGGTAGGGTTGCTGAGAAAGCTAAGAAGAGACATAGAAAGCTAAATCCAGCAGACTGGATTTGCATGTAGGGAGAAAACACCAGAGCATTAAGCTAAAGTGAATAATGAAATGATTCGCTGCACAGAGCAATTCGGAGAAGTGAAGGTGACCAAACACTGGGTTTGCATGTCTCTTGTGGGTCCCGACAACTTGCAGACACCAATGCTCTGTGGCACCCATAAAAAGATAACGCTGGGAACCTCCTATTCTAAATGCCGCTTTTATACCATGGACACTAAACTCCCTGTGGAATTGCCCTCTGACATGATCCCTCTTATATTTCTTCATGCACTGTTGCCATATACTATGAAACTAGCTGCTTCTGTCCTCTGCAATGGGTAACTAAGCACCTACAGCATATAAAATATGCCTAACTGAAAAACTGGGAAGCTTTACCGTCGTTACTGGAAAGTGCCGTGAGATTTCCCTAGAAAGGTGTGGTAGAAGTGCAAAGAGGGATACGCTGTTATTTTAAAACCTGACCATGCACTGGTTCCTCCCCCTTTGAAGTCAGTGGCAAAACTCTGTTTTAGAGGAGCAAAACTACTTGAATCGGCAAACAAGAGGCAGCCTGGAGGCAGAGGAGGCTTACAGGGAATGGTTTCTGCTGCTCTCCTTGAGCACAGAGCTGTTCAGACAGACTGGAGACCTGTCTGCCACTCTCTCCCATTAAGGCTAAGAAATGCTTTTAAAGTTGTTAAATGATTCGGCTGGATCTTACAGCCCTTACTCATCTGAGTACTGCCATTAACTTTAAGAAAATAATCACTATATTAAGTGCTATGGAGTGGAGTCCTTAAATTGTTAAATTCTAATATTTGACAGAAGTTTTTCCTCGGTAGAAAGATAATATTGACATAATTAAAAGGATGTGAACATTTCATCAATTGAAGAATGCAAGTTACTTTGGAGTGATACGTAAAACTAGAGGCAGTGCAGAGGGCTTAAGTCTGTGTCATGTCTGTAGGTTATTTCTGAACTTTATGAAAAACACACTTTAGCAGTTTATGTCCTGACCATTCAAATGTATTCTGGGATTCTGGATTCAAAAACATGCTAACCATGAAAACACAACATTTAAAAATACACTGTCCACTTGGCTTCTTTGCCCTGCTTCAGAGTCTCCCAAGTTTGTTTCGGACAAACTGAGAACTTTGTTGTGGAATAACTTGTTTGAATTGGGGTTTCTTAAAATACATATGGAGCCTTGTAGCTGCTGCGGGGTGTACACAGTGGTGGAGCTGTACTATTTTAAAATCATCTGGCTATTTCACTTCGTGTAAGAATATCTGTCAGCTTAGTTATAAGGAATGAGAGGGGTTGATTAAAACAACTCACGAAGCAATTAAACAAAGAGATAAAATGTAGAACATGTGCTGTAGGGTCGTTTTAATTATAATGTATGGCGGATCTGTGGAAACCGGATGGCAGCTGCATTGTAGCTGAGTTTTAAGTCCCTCTTAGCAGTACTGAAGTCCTGTTACTCACAGGTGGGTTTTCTTATCTGTAGAGCTAATAGGTCCTTTGGAAATGGTGTTTGGAAGCTACCTTTTGTTGCTATGACTGACCATAGTGTAATTACTACGCTCAAAAGCTTAGATGGATATGGACTAGAATAGGCAATTATGTATACTAATCATCTAGTCATTAGATACTAGGCTATATAACATCAGAGAAACATATGCAGAAGCTTTAGTCAAGAAGGGAAGGGATCAAAGATGTCAAATAAACAGCCACAAGAATCCAGAGAGAATGGGGAAGAAAAAAGGTAGTGGCAGCTTACTTCATTGTCTTGGCGATCTTATTAGGTCAAAAAACCAGTACTGAATATACTGCTGCGTGCTAGAAGTGTCTACTAAGTTAATTTAGCATATAATCTGGCTTTAAACAATAGATATCAGGTAGCCACATGAATTCAGTAAAAACTCTTTAAACTTCACATTTTGCTTTGTTCTTATTAACCTCGTTATAGACTTCAAGAGCTAGCGTAATTAATTCTAGCCCTCTCAGAAGGGGTTTTAAATCTCTGGTGTAAGAGTTCAAACCAGTCTCTAGCTACTAGAAATCAAGATGAGGAGCAGTAAGGAAAGAAGACAACACATCTGCCCACGTCAAAGTTTTTAAAACTCCATCCACTCCTGCCAGAGACAGGGTGGTCAGCTAGGTCGACATTGCGTCTGGTTCAGCTTGGCAGCTCTTATGTTCCCAATTCAACAAAGTTTACTTAAATGTCTGCAATGCTTTTTATGCAACTGAAATACAGTAACTTAGTTAACCCTTTGTCATTGAGTAAAATGGGTTCACACATAGGAACATCACTACTTCAAAATATCCAGTCATTAAAGTATTACAAAGATTTGTTACCAAAACTCATTGGAAACAGCCAGAAAATGAATTTTTAAGAATGCGACCACTAACAGTGACTTTAACTTTCTGACTGTAATTGCCACAGCAGTTCAAGTCTTGCTCTGTGGCTTGCAAGCATCACTAAAACTGCCCATGAAAAAATGACATTTGCTTCTGTTTGCAAACTGTCTTTATTAGTATGCGAATTCTCAGGAAATTATATGAATGCTGTAACTTTTGCTTTCCAATCTGCATAAATCAAAGACATAACATCCAGGACCAATTATATAAAAATGGGAAATAATTCCTTAGAAAGATGGTGGAGGACTTGAAGGAGTTATAGCTTGTTGCTCTTGGCTGTAGCTTGTTGGCACATGAAGGTTCTGGGGACTGTTCCCTTGAGGACTTCAGATGTTGTATGTTATTTTAAAGAGACTGGAAGGCCGTAGTTGGGATAGATACCCATCTCCATACTGGCTTGTGGGGCACTCTACCAGATAGCCAGGCTAACCGTTACACCAGTCTGGCTCCTCAGCATCCCCAGCTAAAGAAAATGTACAAAGGCAACTTAGCTGTCATTAAAATGAGGAAAAACTCATTTCTGCTCAAACAGCGTAAGGGAAAGTGTGGTTCCCTCTACTATTAGAACAGGACCTCTCTGTAGCAGAGAAATCAATCATTGATCCAACAATGAGACGTGGCTTGTCAGCTGATGCTCTCAAGGCAGCACACCTTGAGGTGAACTTTGGAGAGTCTCTCAGACTCACCTCAAATTGTTTGAGAGTTAAAAGCTAGAGGAGCAATAGGGGAAGAGCTCTCCCTGATGGGAAATCATGGGCCAGGATGCCAACCTCTGTTGGGCTGGCATCTGGTTATTTGAAGTTCTCACTTTTGGAAATGAAATTAAGCACTTTCCCATCACTGTCATGGAGAGGTTATCTCAGGTTTTTAGCATCATGCTAAGACTCATCCTATGGTGCATATTTTCCCTAGGACTGATGGAACTACACATTTTAGGGTCAAAATTAGCTCTTTGCATGTGTCCTATTGGCTTTAGCAGAATTACTGGTGTGCAACAAATACGAATACAGCTCATACAGTGATTTCTAAAATACAAAATACTAATTACAATATGCTTCCTTAAGGAGAGAAGATGACTGACCGTGTAACCCCTCTCTTCTTCTCTACCTGTTTTACTCCAGTCCTCTGTGATGTCTGTCTGTTTTGCCCGCTTTCACCCAAACCTGGTCGTTGGTGGAACATACTCTGGCCAAATTGTCTTGTGGGATAATCGCAGTCACAGGCGCACTCCAGTTCAGAGGACTCCCTTATCTGCTGCTGCTCACACGGTAAGGATAAAAATCACCTCCTCCTTTCCTTAGAGGAAATGGTCAGCAGGGAAGTGGAGCTGTCTAGTTGTGTATACAATGCTGGTTGCCACACAGATAAAAACATAAGTGTGGCCCTTGAAGGGAAAGAAATAGATAAGAGAGATGTACAGTGCTTAACCATCACACTTTGTACGGTCAGGTCAGGAGATTATCCTCCTTTCCAAGGAAGAGGGCAGGATCAATTACAACACTTGAGTGAGGCACCTTTGTGCCAGCACAGTGGCACTGTGACTCTTGCTCTCCATTGCCTGTAAAGAGAGCCAGGTCACTATAGGAACTGTGTGTCTGTCAGCACAGCATGGCAGGCAATTTGAATCATTTATTGTTGTCTTGTTGTACACGAGTTTCTCTTTTGAACCAGATTAGGCACCTACAGTGGTCTCAGTGGAGTCCTGTAAGTAGACAGCGGTGCCCTTGAAGAGAGCGGGGCAGTTTGCTTCTGTTTTCCAGTAGAGCAATACATAAACGCCTGTCATGGTCTCCTACTCCAGACAGGGCCATAGGGCAGAGCTTGCACAGTGAGGGGAGTTTGTTTCAATAGAATGATGTGGAAGAGCATTTTGCTGACACACAGAGACACCTGCAGATATAGTGATAGCAGCACAGGGCTCTGGTGATATACAGGCAGAGCAGTGGCACAAAATGCCTCAGAAGGAATAGAGTTTCTCTGTGATACAAAGATGTCGTCTGTGGTAGAAGACTCCCTCTTACATTGCAAAGTACTCATATTGCGCTGGAGGAAGAGACAAGCTTGGATTGCCTGCTAAAGTGTCCTCACTCTGCAATGGTGCTGACCTCCAGTCCATCCTGCAGTAACATGTTGTGCATTCTTGAGCTCTCCTCTTCCAGGGTTTGGGCTCAGGCAGCCTCTTCATAAGAGGTGGAAGGTGTACTCTGTGGATGGTAAACATATCTCATCTTGGGAGTGGGCTTGGGACCATTCCTGAGTGGGAAGTGGAAAAGAAAATACAGGCTGAAAGGAGGAGAAAAATGTAATAGTATGATGTAAGAATGCAGAAAAATGCAGATTTCCTGAAACATAAGCAACTGAACTATACAAAGCACTCAGAGAGATAAGATAATAATCTTGTTCTAGCAGAAGATAAAATAATAATCTTGTTCTAGCAGAACGAAGGATCAGACAAAGTGATAGGTCTTTTGCACCTCCAGCTTTTACAATTCTGCAATTCTTATCTTTGGAATTTGCAGATCAAGGTTCAGCTTTTAGTTGACTGTGACAACATAATCCCTGGAGTTAAAAGACAGCTCCAGAAGCCATGCCACGTGAATTAATGCAAAAGATTCAGCATAGGGCCAGTATTATGATAGCAAGTGTCTTATATTAAAAAATGGGAAGTGTGCACAGATACGCTTAGTGGGCCAGGCAGTACAAATATTGTTCCCTAAATTTCCACTATCATGAATGTTGATGTAATAATCTTACGATTTGTGCCATGGGTTGCAACGTCAACGCTGCTTTTCATTTCCCTAATGTTTTTGCTCATTTTGTCGCCAGTAATGTTGTTCAATCTGCATGAAAAGAAACAGTCTCTCCTGGAAGTGCAATTCAGAGATGTAGCAGACCAGAAAACTAGTGGCAAGAAGCTGACTGTCACTGAAAATTGAACAACTGGGACTCAAAATCTAGTGGAAAAGAAAAGATTAATGGGAAGTAATTTGTTTACACTCAGAAAACATTTAAGAAAAAATTGTACCTCCTGGAATTATACATTAAACGAGTTTTATTATTGCAATAGAACAATATGTGATGTTTTGCTTTTTACAAACATAAATAAATGACTTTCAGTTGTGGATGAGCACTCTGTGTGCTGTCATGGATTGGTATAAATAAGTGTTTACACAGTCGTAACATGAGGAAGCATGGTGTTTTTAAGGAGTGATCAGATTTTACAATAAAAGAGTGCTTACTTTATGTTCATATAAAGGAATCACTTACATAAACTGTAAATGAAGTCTTGGTTGCAAAAGGCTGGCTTGAATCCTAGCTGCCAAGAAAAAAAAAGGATTAAATTAAGACAACTCTACTGTAGCAATGTTACTTTATGTAGTGCTAGATACGTGAGTTGAATAGTCATTTTTTAATTTGAACTTATGCCATATGTGAAAAAAGGATTTTTCTCTTTTCTTTCTCTCACTTTGTTTATTTGAAACAGATAGAGTGTGTTGTTATCATTGACTTAAACGTTCCTGAAGTTTAGTACCACTGATTGCTGCCTGGATTCACCAGGAAAGAGAATTCTACCCGCAGCTTATTCATTAATTTCCTTTCACACCCACCACACATCTGCACTTGGGACAACAGGAAATTTTAATTAAGACAAAACCCTTTTGCATGATGATTTCATTTCCAAAATAAATAAAAGCAAGCTGGCAGCGACCCTTTGAAAGGAAGGAGCCTGTTTAGACTTTCCGTTACGTACAGTTGGTTGTCTTTTTCATCCATTTTCCTTACGTCTTTTCATTTCTGCCATGAGTTTTATTGTGCATGAAATTGATGGCTGGTAGCCCTGATTAAAGCCAGACCTGGCACACTGAGGTGCTGCTGGAAAGGCGTGGCTTGCTCTCTCCCTCCCCCCCAAAAATATTCTCGATACTCCGCTGCTTGCTTTAGCTTCCTCCCACCCACTCTGTCCCTCTCTGTTTGGACTACTGGAGGTCCAAACACCCAGGAAAAAATGGGTCTATGCTTATTTCACGCATCAGTATGTGCTACTCATGTTTAGCACTGGGGTCATTAGCTCACCACGAAGCAGCAAGAAGGTCCATCGCACGAGCGTAATAGCGTGAGACACAGATTGTGAGGGACAGATTGGGGTCCATTTGATGATCTGGGGGAAACCAGGTGCCTGACAATCTTGAGAGAAAGAGAAAAATCAGCATCAGAACGGACCTTGAGACTTACTGCTGAGTACAGGTGGCCTCCAAGCACAAGGTACCATTTCAGCAGCAATTGCTGAGTCCACCTTCGGTGTGCGCATACACACCCTGTGCATCAGATGCTGCCCTTTTTGCACTTAGGGAGGGCGCATTTACTGGGCCCGCTCAGGTATCAAACCTGAAAGCTAGCCAGTTTCTTTAAATAAGGAAAATATTAGTGAAAAGTAGTTTTTCTTCCTGGAGACACAGGTCTTCTAATCATTGGCAAAAGAGGCAGAGAAATACAATTGTTCTCTGCTTGACTTGTGTATATTTCTTACCCTTAATTCAGCAGTATCCACTTGTACAGGTCAAAGAAAATTAAATCTTATTGTTCAGTCTGACTGATTTTTCACTCTGGAGGTTGTTGAACTTGAACCATCCCTCACATGTCACCGTCAGATATCAGACGACGCTTTAGGCTCAAAATGTTACCAGGTTCCTTGGAAAAGGAGTAGGCCAAGTTTCATCATTGCATACTAAGTGGAATTCAGCCTCTATGGAATGACTGTGCTATGGTGAACCAGTAACACCCTAAATTTAGTCACTCTGCATTTATAATGACAGATTTAAAAAGGTATATTGGCCAGTGCTGGAGAACGCTGATGGACTTGTTCATGTTTTTCAACGGGAGTACATTTGCAAATATTTAGCATACAAGCCAAATTCTGGAAAAGTTCAAGTTTTATGCAGCTGTTTTCTTGAATAAAGTTTTCATTTTGATTCCATTTGGATAATTTGCCTCTTTCTGCCGGTTATTTTCAGTGTCAAAAGCCATCAGTAGAATGATACATGTCCCTGTGGGTGAAATCTCATCCACATAATTCAGTATTTTCACAGCATTACTCAGCTGGGTTGTTTTATTATGAGGAAAATGAAACTTTGAAAACATTTCCACCTCCATAATGTACCTCTTAAAATTTAAATTAAAAAAAAACCAAAACAATTCCTATCTGGCAAAAGCTGACTCCTGTATTTTCCAGGCATTATGTGACTACTTAATCATTCTTTAAAGTAACGTAGGAGACATTAGAAATTTGTTCGTGATGATGTGAGAATGGCTCTCTGATTTCCAGTGTTAATGTGTTTTCAGCATCCTGTGTATTGTGTGAATGTAGTTGGAACACAGAATGCGCACAACCTCATTACCGTCTCTACGGATGGCAAAATGTGCTCCTGGAGCCTGGACATGCTCTCAACTCCACAGGTGGGTTTGTTTTCTCTTATACAGGGAAAAAAAGCACCTTTGGTAGAGCAGGATACCTGCTTAATGGAACATAGCTCCTAAAAGCCAAAACCTCACGTCCTATACAAACTAAAACCAATGGATGCACTTGAAAGAGTACAGCTTGCTTCCAGCAGTCTCTGCTAAGAGCCAAAACCCATTTCCTTTACCACAAATCATGTAATTATTGTAATACGTTAATACATAGGTCAGTTTCAAGTGAAAATGAAATAATCCATTTTAAAGCACGGTAATTACAGAAGTCGCCTGTGGTATAAATTGCACTTACTCTACAGCATTGTTTAACAAATATGGACTAGATTGCACTGCTGCTGAACACACCCTAGGCACTACGGGTTTCCAAGGCACACAGTCAGAAAGCTTACTTTGCTGCCTGCCTTCAGTAGCCAGAGGAACAAACAATGCAAATCAAAAGTCTTAGAACTAATTTCCCCCCTCTGGAATGTTTGCAACTATTGTCTCCCCCACACACACACCGCCTTTGTATCAGAAATGAAAGGGAACCCAGGAAAATTGTCCAAACCACTAGTGATTATAATAATGGAAACTCAACAAAGAATCTGATGCTGACAAAGGTCTATGGAAAGCGTCTTTTTAAGTGTTATCTTCTGGAGTAGTACATTTTCTATTCCAATTCATCACTCATTTTTTATACGTAATTTCTTAGAAAAAAAATAATTTAAAATCATTTTTACTAAGCATCATGGGATCTGATCTTGTTTCAAAATACTGCACAGAAAATCCTTTTAATGATTCCATTAATCATCAATTAATCATACATTGATGTGCAATTACTATCGAATTATTTGCTTTTCACAAGAGGTGGGACTCCTCTACCCTAACCTTAGCCATCCGAAAGTTAAGTCCATGTCAAGTTTAAGCTAGTAATTTCAGTTCCCTTTACACTTAATGTAGAGAGAGACTGGGCACTTCTGGAGGATAGAATCATCCCATCCCAGTGTGAAATACCATTTCAGATACCCACCCTGGGTACAGAACTGTCAAATCTTAGGATGGAAGGGGCTTCTGGAAGTCATCCCATCTACTCCCCTACTCAAAGTGAGGCCAACTTCAAAGTTAGATCATGTTGCTCATGCTCATCTAAGGCAACAGTATGGGTGTGGTATTTTTGTCCTGGGACTATGAGAAACCAATACACTTCTGGAGTAGAAGTGGAAGCATCTGAAATGGCCCAGACATCTATGTTTAAGCACCTGAATCCCTTCCCCAGTTTCTCACTTAAACATCAAGAAGATAAATCCCATCCTTATGTATTCACTTACTGGAATACTAAATTTTGAAGCAGAGATTTGTGAACATCTCAGTTTCGGTACTTCATCACTCAGATGGAATTTCCCTGCTCCAAAACTGGCTTTCAACAAGGGTGGGAACACACCCCACATGATGCTGAAGTTTGGTGCATGGCTCATGGTGATCTAGAAAAGAAAGGCACAGGACTTGATGTCAAGCTACGTGCCATAGCTTTAAATTGGGAGGAGTAGAGTGTTGCTGATGTGTGTCAGTCTGAAACTTTCCGAAGACACAGATCCAGAGCACTCGTGTACAGCCATGGCGTAGGCGCTGGGAGGAGAGAGTCCACCACAGTATCTGGCCGTGTCTCCACAGAGACACTAAATGATGATCTCACCCCAGAAGATTTTCACAGAAATATATGGTCCGTGGGTGCTCTGCCAATGCATTTTCCAGGTCTTGTTTTGCCTTTTTAGTAGAACCAAATGCATTTCAAAGAAAAGTATAAACCAAGCAAAAGTATTTCTCTATGGATTTGCAGCCCTCTCCTCTCACAGGGATGCCCACTTTCTTCAGCTACAGTAAAAAGCCCTTCTGAGAAAAACGCTATAGGCTTTGGCCCTAGAAGAATAGCAGCTTAGACATTTTAAACATAGAAAACATACCCACTTAAATAGCTAAAAATGAAAATTGCTAAATCATTCAGTCCCTTTGTGGATTCTTGGGTTACACTATTTACACTGAACAACCAAAAAGTTGTGCAAAATCTGCTCAAATCGTACGCATCTTCCAATGGCCACAAACTGTTCATGCTGGTTGTACTTGCAATAGCAGAAATGGGCATGCTGATTTACTTTGAAATATAGCTACCAAATGAAAAAAGAAAATATGTTTGCTGGTTTGTAGCTTGATGATGGAGTCTAGCGGGAGTGTTTACGGTTACCTCAGAAAATCCCTGAAAAGCACTGCTTAGAATGGTGGTAGTGACAGGAACCCAACTTTTTTATTTTGTTCTGCAAAGGGACAAATAGCACAGTCTGAGAAATGCCTCAGGCACACATGCTATTACACGTGTTTCCTGACAAACAATTGATTTCAAAAATGTTTGTAAATAGAAGGGTATTGCATGTTTTATTAGAGCCTGGGGCTGGCAAGTGTAACCATTAAGGTATTATCTTTCGTTTCTGCACCATGAAGATTTTAAATTCTCACTTGTCATCTCTGCCTGATTTAAGATGACGTAGCAAAGACCAGTGCCTTCCAGCCACTCTCAAACGTGTGACAGACAGTGGCGGGGATGGCAGGAGCAGTGCATCCTAGTTTATGACATTGCATCTTCTCACAATGTCCTATGTAGACACCACTGTCCTGTGGCTGGGTCAAATGATTTCTTCTTCCCCTCCTGCTACCCTTTGTAACATTTAGAAATTAATTAAAAAAACAACAACAAAGAGCCAAACAAAAGGATGATCGCAGAATAATAATGAAGACCTGTTTTGGTAGGAGAGCATGGAGCTGGTGTACAATAAGTCCAAACCAGTGGCGGTTACAGGAATGGCTTTCCCAACTGGAGATGTCAATAACTTCGTCGTTGGCAGTGAAGAGGGAACAGTCTACACAGCCTGTCGTCATGGAAGGTGACGTTCAGGATTTTGTACTTAAATAACATTGTGTACCTGTGTTGGCGTGAGGTAGCCAAGTGTGTGTGGAGAGTGTTTCATGTTTTTTCTCTTGAATCAATGGTATCTGTACTGTTCTACTTTACACGACTAGGACAGGAGTTGCCTGACTGAGTATCTGTGCTACAGCCTGTTATACTGGGGTAGTTGTCCCAGGCTCCCTGCATAGTTGGTGGAGAGCAATGACTGCTCTTAGGGTTTGATTTCCTTTAGCTTTTTCAGACAACTGCCTGAAGAAGAGACGACTGGGACCTCAGAAATGCCTCTTTCTCACCCGTGAGGTGAGACGGAGGTCTAGACAGCTAGCTGAGATGTCTGGGCAGGTCGAATCAGGCCCCAGGAAACAGTTTTGTTGCAGGGTAATCAAGCCTAAACCACTCATAAGAGATGGTAATCTGCTTTATTTTTTACCATCCTCAGCTCCAGCTTCAGTCTCCACAGGCATATATCAGAGAAAAGGCACCATGGACACATGTGCACGTGAGAAACAGAGCATGCATGTCCCAATGCACGGCCATCCAGCGCCGGGTATTCCCGCGCAGCACTGCAGGCTGCATCTGCACAGCCAGGCTAGAGACTGAGCCCTGCTGGCCCCCGCTCTCGGTGGGCAGATTGGACATGCCCACCCTCTCCAGGAGGGCGAGAGGGTTTTGTTGTACAGCCAGGAGCCATGCCACACCGTTTGCCCTCAGTCTGGGCTGCCGCCTGGTTTATTCGCTAACATGGACGTAGCCACAGTGTGCCGCGCGGGTACGCAAGCTCTGGCTGACCTGCTCCCAGGATTCGTACCCTGTGCTCTCTTACACACAGTGGTCATATCCCTTCCTCGCATAACCCAGGCTATAGTTTAATACTGCAAGTTCCTTAGTTTGCACCTTGTAAATCTGCAGAATGCTAGCATGTTCTGTTAGCTTCTGGTAGTAGTTTCATCCTCTGGGATGCTTGAAAGGCTTTTGTAAAGAACAAACTTTTTTCACTGATAGATTTAAGGCTCACCCCCACACTTCAGTAGTTTGCAATATTCTCTGAATTCATATTTTATCATATTCTGTGTTTCTGTTGACCAAATAGACATCAATACACTGGTTTAAGATTGTAAGGCTTCTATTACACATTCCTACTGTTTTACATATATTTTGTTCAACATAATTTTTGTTTTAAAATATTTTTATTTTAGCCTGACCGCTGACAGTACTGCAAAATTGTATCTATTTAGGTATTATACTGATAGGCTGTGTGGCAGATGATGGTTTGAATTAGTCTTAGGCTGCTATGATAAATGAAGCGTGCCCAAGGGCATTTCTCACTTCTGATCTTTCAGACATGCCTGGTTTGTTCCTCACAAGAGGAGAAAGGTGCCAGATCCTCGTTAGCCCACCTTTTTAGCAAACCTTCTGCTGACCATCAACAAACGCACTCCTTTTCTGCTCCTGCCTGTCTTTCCTAGAGCATTTTGCTATCATCCCCATTTTATTTCCAGAGGCTCCTGTGTCCTCCAGCCCAGCACAGTAGAGCGCCATATGTTATTCTGGAAAAAGGTGTGTCAAAGCACAGCAGATACACAAGGTGTTCTCAATGCTCCAGAATTCCCCTTACCTGGCCGACGACATGGCAGACAGGTGGGGATAAAATATGAGGTGTGCTTTGTACCCAGCACCGCAGAGGCACTGCAGAACCCAGCCCCTGCTCCAGCACATGCTGCAGGGTCTGGCAGGGGAGCCTAAGTGAGGCCACACTGTCATGGTCAACAGGAGAGGTGAGGGGACACCACGCTAGCAATATGAGGGACCAATTTCCTCCAGTGCAGCTTCTCATCTCTTTGGGTACGCTGTAGTCACACTGGCACAGGGCTGGCAGCCTTGTCAGAGCTGTGGCTATTTTTAATGTATTTTCTTCCATTGGCAATTTTTCTGTAATGTAACTAAAAGGGTAATTTCATGATTCCCCTCTCTATATATACTGTGAGAGAGCACCGACAACTGATCTGGCATCATTTGCTTCCAGGAAGAAGAAAACTGCACACATTCTCTCTCACACAGTGTTGTATTTTTCCTTCCTAATAGCTATTCTAGCCTCAGGCCGATGAAATGCACATCTCCCCTTGTTCAAAGTAATGCCTGTATGATACTTGATCACAGGAACAGTTCCTTCACTGTTTGTGAAAAAGGATTTGCTTCCTAGTGACGTGATTGACTGCTGTGGAAAGTTATTTTAGATATTTAAGAGAAAAGAATTGCTCATGATAAGTCATTAACATACTTGCATTTTTATTTTAATGGTTATTTCTTGTGATAATGGCTTACTCAGAGGCATAAGCTATAGTATAATTATAATTTAGAATTATTTTATAATTATATGTAAATGTTATTTCAAGCTACAGTAGTAGACAGTGTATGTAAAAGTGAGTAAGGCAAGTCTTCAGAAGTAAGAGAAAGTCTCCCTGTGCTGGATCCTGAGCATTAATTGTGCCCACAGCAGTAAACCTCTGCAGGCAAAGGCCTTACTGAAAGGAGAGAGATTTACAGATTAAATGGAACTTTAAAAGGAAACAGGAACCTAAGAGTAAAGAAAAATTATGTTCAATCACCAGATGTTAAATCACTCTCTGAATGCAAATGTCTCTTCTTCCTGCAGTAAAGCTGGCATTGGTGAAATTTTTGAAGGCCACCAAGGACCCGTCACAGGAATCAATTGTCACATGGCAGTGGGTCCAATTGACTTTTCCCATCTCTTTGTTACATCATCATTTGACTGGACAGTCAAGTTGTGGACCACAAAGGTGAGAAATCTGAGCTGGGGTGGAATGGGTAATGCCATTTGTGAAAATGCTGTTGTCAGAAATATTTCAATATTGACTATATCAAGTCCTAAGAATCAATTAATTGAAAGGCTGTGCTTAGAATAGGCATAGTGATAAAATTGTAAGTAAAATATATATCTAGTGTAACTGTGTCAACCATATTCGCCCTGGAGCGTACCTTGCCCTTTAAAGGTAGATTCAGCTGGCCTGTCCTTCAGTATTAAACCTAGTGCTGAGCAATTTCACTAGGCAAGGAGATTAGGATGTCTCATACTGCAAGTCATCAAACAATCCATCCAGCACGCCCTGTGCAGGCTAAATTGCAAGGCTAATACTGTGCACCATGGTGGTGCAGCAGCAGGAACACTTTCTTCTGATGAAGCAACAGGGGAAGCACACGTATGACTTAATGGAATCAATATCACTCGTGAAATTCATTGCTGTAGGAGGTTGTGATAGCCAAAAAGTATAAATTGTCCCAATGACATTAGACACTGATGGCTGGAAGCAGGGAGGAAATACATGCTGGAACTTACATTCATGACCACCATGGATCTCTTGCTGACTACTCTATGGCTGTGTCCCCCTGACCGCTTACAGGGAGAGCACTATGAACAGCAGAAATGAATACACAGTCCTGTGAAGCTTTGAAACCCCAACACCTCCATAGGACTGTATGAATATAGGGTAATGACAGCATGAGCGAAAACTGTGGGACAGAGTAAAGAGTCCAACCTGTTTCATTGTACAGGCTGAATGAGAGGTAAAATCCTAATTATATAAACCATCTAAACAGTTCTTTTTGTCATACACCAGAGTAGAGAACTGCCTTCCAAATGCCAGGCTTTTGTCTTAACCGTGGTTTTATGCCTGCTTTTGGTTCACATCTTGAGCTGCCCCCGTACTCTGCCCCGCAGAGTTCCAGTACTGGAAGCTGACCCCAGTCAGGAAGTATCTCAGCAAGTGTTTCTCCAACACATCAGGGCTTGGAGATGCTAGGACAGATGCACAGCAAATGTAAATACAAAAGTGATCAGAAGGGCTTACGTGACAGCCTTGTGCTGGAAACAGAAGCACAGTTACCTAGATAATAACTTGAGTCAGCTTCCATAGTAGCTTCACAATGCATTTGTTAATGGCCTGATCCAATGTGCATGCTAATTAACAGGTATATTTTCCTCATCAACAGTGACCAGCGCTGATGGTTTTGTCTTGAGCGTTACATTTTAGGAAATTCGTTATAAGAAAGGTGCACAATTTACCTAATACGCATGTAACCATACACATTAGTGGACTCAGTCTTAACCAATGCAGAAGTGGTCCAGGGGAGTTGTCATGGGCAGGCTGGAATGGGTCTGGGATGGGTCCTAAGTGGTAAACGTTAGAAAGGGCTGCAGGATAACCAAGTGATGGAGAGCTTAGGTGTTAGCTGGTTGGGGCTGGCTAGGCTGTTTGGTGTCTGAGATAAGGGAGTCCTGGACAGTGCTAACTGATGGCAAGGGAATATTGGAGGGTTGAAGTTGAAGCTGAGTAAGGGGAAAAGAATTTGTGGGGACTGCGGGGGGGAAATGAAAGGCAGGTACTGAATTCCAAACATACATGTCCAGAAAAGTCTAGGATGAGTATTTGACCCTCAGCTTGAAGTTGAATATGCAATAAGGGTCTCATCCATCTGCAGCTTAAATGAAATTGTATTAAGGGATAATAAGGCCTGGTTTGTATTTTAAAACTCCTGGGATTTTAGAAGTTAGCAGTAACACTAACACAGCATATTTTGGGCACAAAGGCACTGCAGTTAGCAGTGCACAGTTATCCTTGAGGAAGAATTCAGTGCCAAAATTGTTAGGTCAGATTCTGTTCAATACAGTCAGTTTTCAAAGAACCAAACCATTTAAATTTCTAATATCTATCAAGCTGTGGCTCATCTGGCAAGAGGGGCTTCCTGAGAAAGCTGCTTGACCTAGCTGATGTGAGCTGTGACGTGCACGTGACACACCGCAGCACCACTCAGAGCTGGAAGCCACGTTGCTGTGTTGGATCGCTTGCTTTTGCTTCTGGAGCAGGTTTGAGCAGCAGCAGCCCCAGGCTGCTGCACTGCCAGCCACGGCCCTGTGAAGACATCCTCTGAGACACTTGACAAGTTCTTGAACTGTGATGAATGTTTTTTTTTTCTTCCAGTTTGACTCCAGCAGAAGTTTCTTTCCATACTGTCTGGATAATTCTCTTGGCTGGAACTATTACATATTTAGGGCTCTCTTTGTTCAGTTCCCATAGTCAGGGTCCAGTCAATCAGTGGGCTTTGAATAAACCCATTAGCATGTTTGATTCTCTGAAAAAAATAGTGGATTGATATGAAGCATTGAGTGCTACTGCTGGCTTATGAGAGTTTACTCAGAATTGTTTTATTCCTTTGGTTTCTTATTTGTAAATTTAATCTCTCTATCAGCATCCAATGCCGTATGGCTTTCCTGCTTCTACCAATGTTGTCTACTTAATCCTGTGCACATTATCCTCTGGTCATGAAATTAAATTCCTTTGTGTTTCACAGGTTCAGAGTCAATGTCCAATTGTAAAGTGAACCATAAAAGCTCTGTGTTTATATTGTCTATTGATGTTGTGTAGCACCCTGGGGTGCTTACAAGAAAGGCACTTTCATAGCAGGCATTTGACTGATGGATTGAAAGCACCATCTCCCTTAAAAACTCTGGCTTGACATTTTATAATCTGTTTTTGTGGTTAACACATTTTCTATCCAAAGGCAGTTCAACCAGGTGACTGAGAATAAGGTTTTCACTAACGGAAGAATGAAGGTTTTGTAGATAACACTAATACAAGGGTCACATTATCACCCATCACATTAGCCAATAATTAGGTCCCTGGGTGAATAGTAAGCAACCAGAAGCAACAGGAAAAGAAAAGGAATTTGCAAAGATAGTCACTTGATAGCCAGGGCATTACCTGGTTCCTGATGAAGTCAATAGGGCTTTCAACTTGAATTCATGCTACACCATGTGAGCAAGTCTTCGATGCAGAGCTGTCAAAGGGAAGTCCTGATGTGAAGTGTCTGCAGAGCTCTGCCCTTAATTAGGTATTGTCTGTACGATGCTTTGAAGAGGTAAAGTGCTAAGTGGAAATGCTAAGTGTTGTTAATTAATTAAGCACTAATCCTCATGAACGAATAGCATGAGGTTAAATAATGAAATGTAAGTATTGTTATTATTACAGCAATTGCTGTTTGGAGTGTGAATTTTTAGATATTGTGTCAAGGGACAGGACCTAGCTTGGAATTGTTAAAGCGTAGCAAAACATAAGCTAGTTTCAGCTAAAGCGTAGAAGATGGCTTGTTTGCTGCTGAGGGAGTTAATAGTCTGGATAGAGAGCTGGATTTTGTTAGCTCTTTCATCCTTCACATGTCTCCTTTATCTCTTATCCTTCCATTGAGGGGAGGTGCTAATGACTGTTTTTCTCCTTTTACATCTATGCCTAAATCATGGTCAGTTGGGCAGTTGACTAGAAGAGAGATTGGAATAACTATAACAGCATTGCTGTATCCCCATCCGTGCTTACCTCCCTCTTTGCCTAATGTTTAAGTAATGGTGGTGAGTGCCATAATCAGAAGGAGGGACAGACGTGAGCAGACTGGTAGTAGGACCACCAGATAACCATTAGCAGGGACTAATTGAGCCAGAGGACATGTATGCCTTCAGTGACAGACAACCTACTTTTGTGTCTGTGCTCAGTTTTGCCTTATTAGCATGTGCATCAATGAGAGCTCCTTCCTAGTCTCCCTCTTTGTCTTCTCTTCTTATGCTCTTCACATGCTGCTCTTCTCTTTTGGTGTCCTGTGTTGTTCCAGTCTGCAGTCTGTCATGCTTTTTGCGAAACCACATTTTAAACAGCAAAAATTCACATTTCTATGCTATGTGCCTTCATGTACATTTCTGTACCTTCCATATCTTATGCCCATCTGTTTGCTGATTATCTTGGTATGACCCAGTCCTCCTGACTCTTGGAGTAAATTATTTTACCTTGCACTTTCATACCTTCCTATCAGCATATGCTTTCAAACTTCACTGGTTTTCATTTGGTCTAGAGGTTGAACACCATCTCCTCAGAGGTCAAGCTGAAGCCTGTCACTAGAAGAATGCAAAGAAGCATGTGGTGGTGGTGCTCAAGACAGGTACCCGTAGCCCCCCAGTCCCCTTCCCCAAAAGCCTGGCTGGTAGGATCTGATAGGATCAACTCGATAGACCAAACTTACTGTGATGGAAAATGGTGTAGCAGAATGAATCAGAGCATTACATGATTGTGTGGATTAGTCACCAAGAAAACAATGCACTCACAAGTGGGCAATTTTTAAAGTTTACTAAAATAACAGGGTCAGGTTGTCACTTTTTTTAAGATCAAGAATTTACTATTTTTTACATTACATATACCATGTATCAAGATATCTGGTTACTGGCTCAGATTTTTTTCTAATATAATTTCAATCACATTAAGTGGGTGAGTGAGAGCCTCTTGTGTTATAGATAGCATTGCCTAAAGTTAAAGAACCAAATAGAAATGTAGTCAAACATGTAGTCGTGATAAAAAGACACTAAACTTAATGAACTATTAGAACAGCCTGGTGAATTTTCCCTCGTGAAAATTGTTTTAACTGTAATTGGAAATGCTGGAGTCAATGACTTGATTTAGTGAAGTCCCATGGCAGGTGATTAGAGTGGATCACAGATTAGAGAAGCTGATGTTAGTGGTTAATGGTATATAGCATTCCCCTGCCTTATGGAAAATGTTCCTATTCCAGTGAATATGCAGTTATTTATGAAGACTGTAGGAGCTCCACAAGAGTATCCTGTAAGCCAGTGGTTTGGGCACCAAGCCATCGGCAAAGGTCTGCCGGAGTAGGACTGGAACATGTGTCTTCCCTCAGGGGAGGAAGTGCTGTGATGATCTTGCCATTTTGCTCTGAGCTGTATCTT